CGAAAGCCGTTTTCATCTGAAAATCACTACACTACATAAGATTATTGTAATATATTGAAATTCCATAGAGCTATAGACTATAGAGCAAATTCTCTATGAAACTTTTGCTAAAAGCTTGCAAATTTGCTAAACTTGCTAAGTTTAATGATGTCAAAGCCGGGAAATTGCCGACAAAATTTAAATCGAACTTTAAGTGAAAAGAAAAGATTACGGTATTTGCCAGATAAGCATCGCTTTAATGTTTATTTCTTAATTTTTCTAATAATCAAAAAAGATCAGTATCACGTACTTCCTCAAAATTTTCCCATGGTAATTTCAGAGCTCCTTTTGAATGCTCAATTAGTGTTTTGTAGTACAAATTCAACAAGCTTTCCAATCTGAAAATTGAATTTTCTTTTGAAATTGTGAGAATTTGTGAGGATTTGTGCTTTAAAAGATCGAAAATGAAGTAATACTAACAAAATACAATCTACAAAAAAACTCCAACAACTCTAAGAATCAACAACTCTAAGAATCAACAACTCTAATTTGAATTAGCGAATCGTATAAGAAACGTACGGCCTTATAAGAAAACTCAAAATTCAAGATGATTTTCTAAACAAAATCTCTCGTGAAACGTTTTGCAAAAACAAAAAAACAGATTCGAGATCTCGATCTCTAAAAGATGAACTTGGTCTCAGGTTAAAAGGGCCGCTTGTAAGGCATCAATTACGGTATTTTTTTGTTTTAAAGTCATAAGCAAGTCCTTATAAGCAGAAATAAAGTCAACAACAATCCAACAACTTTACTCCTTTTGAAAATCATCGGGGGAAAGTGCGGTGAGAGTGATACGACACAGATCGATGAGGGGATTATTGAGGTGAGCTGTCTGAAAGTGAGAAATTATTATCCACCATTATAAAGCATTCAATCATATAAAGCACTTTTTCATCACTTTATAGACAAGAATTTGGAGAATTTCTCGTGAAATTCCATAGAAAATACATAGGCTTCTGCCTTGGACATTAAAAGTTCAGAAGTTCAAAAGTTCAAAAGCGAATAGGACAATAAGTTATAGCCAAGTAGTACTTTATTTGCCTATGAACGTTTCGAGAATGTTCAGGGCAGTTTCCCTTTCTTTTCTTTTCGCTCTACTAAAAGATGAAGGGACAACGATCATTTTGCCCCCCCCACCACATCCCACTTTTGCTCTCCCCCGGCTTGAACATTCCAGATCCCTCATGTTTTGTTCCACTTTTGCCCCCCCCCCCTGCCAAATGGAGGACAAAGATGATATCCACATTTGTCCCCCACAGAACGACGAAATACAACAAAAGCTTTTACCATTCCACATCTGCTCCTCACAAAATTGAACGATGTGGAAAACAGAAATGGAAAGCCTAGAGATGGGGGGCTTGCCTTTTGCCTTTTGCCTTTTGCCTCCACTTTTGCCCCCCAATTTTACGTTGTGGGGGACAAAATGATACTATCAAATCGTCACCCACGTGGAGGGGCAGAACTGGAAAGGTAGGGGGGGGGGGGGGGACATCCGTTTTTGTTTTTCGCAAAAAATTGTTTTCTATAGGATTTTTACGTTTGAATAGCCATTTGATGTAGAAAAATGTGCTGAATTCAATGGTGAAAAATTATCAAAATCCGTCTTGTAGATTTTTTTAAAATCGCATTTTATCAAAAGCATCAGTCATACACCATTTTCGCCACACTCACCTGCATTTGGCCCTCCACTACTCGATGATAACAAAAAATTAGGAAAGACCAGGGAGTAGAATTTGTCAAGATGTTGTTTGCGATCATTTTGAGACTAAAATCGTATTAATTGGTGAACTCACGAAAAAGTTATAACATTTTGAAGACAAAAATGACGTTTGACGACTTTCTGCGCCCTAAAACGTGGATAAGACCGTAACCCCAAACCGTGAGTTCACCAATTAATACGATTTTGCTCTCAAAATGATCACAGACAACATTTTGACAAAGTCTACTCACTGGCCTTTCCTAATTTTTTGTTATCATCGAGTAGTGGAGCGGAGGGCCAAATGCAGGTGAGCTTGGCCATTTCTAAAGGGCCAAATGCAGGTGAGCTTGGCCATTTCTGGAGGGCCAAATGCAGGTGAGCTTGACCATTTCTGGAGGGCCAAATGCAGGTGAGCTTGGCCATTTCTGGAGAGCCAAATGCAGGTGAGCTTGGCCATTTCTGGAGGGCCAAATGCAGGTGAGCTTGGCCATTTCTGGAGGGCCAAATGCAGGTGAGCTTGGCCATTTCTAAAGGGCCAAATGCAGGTGAGCTTGGCCATTTCTGGAGGGCCAAATGCAGGTGAGCTTGGCCATTTCTAAAGGGCCAAATGCAGGTGAGCTTGGCCATTTCTGGAGGGCCAAATGCAGGTGAGCTTGACCATTTCTGGAGGGCCAAATGCAGGTGAGCTTGGCCATTTCTAAAGGGCCAAATGCAGGTGAGCTTGGCCATTTCTGGAGGGCCAAATGCAGGTGAGCTTGACCATTTCTGGTGGTGGGGCTAATCTGGAATGATGGGGGGCAGGACTGGAGTGGGGGGCAAAAGTCGAAGATTCCGAAGATGAAGAATTAAGGTGCTTTAAACACAAACGCTTGATATATTTTGCTAAGTTGTATCTCAATGCAGAATGGAAGCATTCAATAAAACGGTTTTTCAAGTCTTACTGCCTAGATATTATCCAAGAATGCTGTAAAACAAGAGGCTGAACAATTAACAACAAAGTGTGACTAAGCTAAAAGATTTCCTTTCCGCTTACCTGCCAATCAATAATTTTCAACATCTCATAATCATTCGTTTCCCCATTTCTCCTCCACAAAACATTTCCCAAATGACAATCCCAGTGACATAGTAACGAAATTTTACCTCAAATCTTCACAATTCTTTGAAAATAACCATTCCCAACAATATTTCCCAGCTTCTTCCCACATTTTCGTCACATCACCGAAAGTTTTTGCAAGATTCGACAATTTTCTGGCATCTTCTTTTAAAGTGGGATAACGATCAGCGACTGTAAGCAGATTTTTTGAACAACTCTAAAATTTTTCTCAAAATTTAACCTCTATTTTGCATACCTCTCTTCCAAAACCACCTCTCATGTAGTTTTTGGCTCCAAAAGCTGAGGCATCAAAGGCTTTTAGTTGATCAAGAAGGGCAGCGTTTGAGAGTACTAAACTTTCTAATCTTTAATGTTTTAATTGAGCTTTAAAAGCTGTAAGTCAGGTCCAGGTTCAACCTTTGTCAAATCTGGATATATTTTTGACTCAGCAACATACCATGTAAGACCAGCATCATACTTGCTAGGTATTATAGTTAGCTAGGCTTCTGAACTGACTATATTAGAAACCTTTTTGTTGTTAGATTGTTAGAAAACCTTTTTGTTGTTTGTTAGAAAGCTTTGTTAGAGATCTAGTTATTTTGCGGAACAGGCCTGCAGCAAAACTACCTGTAAAACCAGGATCAGGGCTTGACCAGAAGCCAAGTTCAAGACTTGACCAGAAGCCAAGTACAATGCTTGACCAGAAGCCAAGTGCAAGGCTTGACCAGAAGCCAAGTACAATGCTTGACCAGGAGCCAAGCCCTGGAACCTGGAGCCTGCAGGCCTGGCCCACAAAGTCCCTAAAGTCGCACAAAGGGAACAGAAATCTGACCCTGATCTTTGCTGATTTATTTATCTTCTTGATGTCAAAGTCTAACAAATAAATATTGAGGCATTCAGACTGAGTCTAAGCTCTACAGGGTTGCCCATATAACTCTAAGTGTAGTAGCTTATTCCTAACTATCTCGATCAAAGCTGAAATTTTGCACTGAGCATAAAAGCATTTCAAAAATCAAATTTGGACTTCTAACAAGACTCACAAAGCCAAAAAAGCTCAAGAGCCTGAGCCAGCAAACTAAAGTTTCCAGATTTTATCTCTTTTTCTGAATCGCGCATCTCGCTGGATAAAAAGCTGATGGATTTTTCCGTCCTTGAGACAAAAGTCTGCACAAAACCGGATAAAAATGTTAAAAGTATGAAGAAAAGTCTTTAAAAGTCTGGGATGAACTCAATGATGTTTACTTTCCTTTCCTTAAAGCTTGATAGCATTCTCGGCTAAAAAATGGTGATCCCTTTGAATTTAATTATTAATTTTTTTTTTGTTCATTAATATCAAATAAAGATTTTAAACAAAAGTTTCCTTTTTAAAGTTTCATTTTGTTTACCTAAAAATCTTTTTTATCTGTACCTATGGTCGCGTCCGTTTCCTTCCTATTTGCGTTGCTATTTTGCAATTATTCGCGTCGCATTTTTCGTCCTTTTTCTCCCTTCCCGAAATGATTTTTTTTGGTCTGTGGGGGTTTTTGCCTTCTTTTTGTTTTTGCCTTCTTGGGGGACTTTGTTGTTTCATTTTTGATGCGCATGCTGTTTTTGTAATGGGTATTGTTGCATTTCGGTTCTGTACTAATAAACAGTAACGTTATAAATTCACTTTACTTTATGCTACCCTTCAGGTTTTAAAATCCTGTTTACATGACTGGTTTTACATGATTGTAGAGAGGTTTTACTAACATTTGTGTCACCATCGACGTAGTATCAATCCGATCTGTACTCTTCTCAAGAGTATTAATCTATTGTTGGATACTACGTGTTCTTGTTACGTTGTAAGCGCTTTTGGGGGGAAACCTTTTTAACCTTTTGTGCTATTCGGCCATTCTTAAGCAGAATCATCCTCGCTGATAAGGTTAAAGCGGGTCGCACCCCAAACTTTATTATTAGCCACTCAGTACAATGTTTGGGTACATTTTAAAAACTCAATGTACAATGTACAACAGGTGATTCTTTGAGTACGCAATCACACTTCTACTCGGAACAAATGATTGATGAATAATTCAACAATTATTTGTATCAATATTCTGAAAGAAACAAACGATCAACAATTTCTGAAAGATCTCAATGAAATTTCGTCATTCAAACATTGTCATTCAAACATCTAATCATCAATAAAATTCACTTACAGTAGCCATTGATTCTCGCCAAAGCTTTGACCACTTCTGCAACTCCATTCACCGAGATATTTGTATGATATTGAACAAATGAGATCTCCTCGATGAATTCACAAAGAAAATAGCCTAAGGAAAGGATTGAATCACATTTTAATCATTTTTAAAATCCCCATTTCCCCACCAGCATTAATGTCTTTATTCTCGTAGTCAGCACCACCAAAATATTTTGGTATTTTTGCTGTTTCTTCAAAACCCCAAAGATTCGCGTTTTTGTAGATAAAATGTTCTGTGTTATGAATCTGCAAAATGTTTCTGAAAACTTGACATTTAATCAATCATACAATAGCCGCTTTTTGAGCACATTCCTCGTCCGACACTGTACACTTTCCACTGATTGCTGTCGAGACGTTGATGATCGATTGTTTTGTGGTCACCCAAAAATTGAGTTGTTCTTATGGGGAAAAAATTCGAGATCAAGTTGAAAAGTTGAACACTTTTTTATGGAGATACGTTAATTAAATGCATTAAATTGTGTAAACTTTATCAAAGGAAGTTTTTGTTTTTCCAACTAAAACAAAGAAAGAAAGAAAGAAAGAAATAAATAAATAAACAGACAGACAGACAGACAGACAGACAGACAGACAGCAGAGATAGACAGACAGATAGACAGACAGACAGACAGACAGACAGACAGACAGATAGACAGACAGACAGACAGATAGACAGACAGACAGATAGACAGACAGACAGATAGACAGACAGATAGACATACAGACAAACAAACAAAGAAACAGACAGACAAACAAACGAACAAACAAACAAACTCAAACAAACAACAAACAAACAACAAACAGACAGACAAACAAACAAACAAACAGACAGACAAACAAACAAACAAGGCTTTATACATAGAATAGAAGAGCTTCTTCTATAGAACAGAACAATATTTGCCTAGGACAGCTTTTTTAGATAGTAATTAACTCCAAAACTCGTTGGACATTAGCAAATTTACATGAAAGTATTAGGCTTTTCGGCTGGAGTGCAGTTTACCCCCGCCTCCATGAAAAATTTCCGAAAACCACTTTTCTAGGGGTTTTCGACCATACTGAATCCGAATAACATAGTCCCAATCACCGGAAACAAAAAAAAATTTTGCCTTGGGGGACTAAGGCAAAAAGTTAAACTCTTTCTTTTCTTTTTTTGTTGATTTTATACCGATTTTACTACTATCTAATGAATTTTTCTTTTAGTATGACGGTTCTTTGATAATTTATCAATTACGGCGGCGCCCATGCTAGCCGATGCGTGGCATATCGTTCATCCTCACAAAACGAAACTACAATAAAGCACGACAAGTCTCGGGCTTTTCATTTCCCTATTTGTCATTTCTTTCCCATTTACCCACCTTCAATAGCAATCGATCAGGAAGATCAAAATCGTTTTTTTCCAAGTCCAGGAAGAGGGTAAAGAGCGAGGAAACAAGACCCTGTAAAGTCTTTTTTTTTCAAGTTCAACTTTCTCTCCCTAACCGCCCCTTCACCAGTTTTCTCGGCTCGTCTCTTTGAGCCAAGTTTAATTGATTTTCCGAAATTTCTCCTTAAAATCATTTCGATGATCGTCCATTTGATCGGAGTATCGAAAATGAAATCATTTTCCTAAATTTTTTTGATTTATCTAATGCCGTTTAGGAAATTTAGCCGTTAACGAATGATTCGTGATCGGCTAGCCGTTCAAGAATGATTCGTAATTGGCTAGCCGCCAAAGAATGATTCGTAAATGGCTAGCCGCTGAAGAATGATTCGTCATCCGCTAGCCGCTAAAGAATGATTCGTAATCGGCTAGCCGCTAAAGAATGATTCGTAATTGGCTAGCCGTTAACGAATGATTCGTCATCGGCTAGCCGCTAAAGAATGATTCGTAATCGGCTAGCCGCTAAAGAATGATTCGTAATTGGCTAGCCGTTAACGAATGATTCGTCATCGGCTAGCCGCTAAAGAATGATTCGTAATCGGCTAGCCGCTAAAGAATGATTCGTAATTGGCTAGCCGTTAACGAATGATTCGTCATCGGCTAGCCGCTAAAGAATGATTCGTAATCCGTTAGCCGCTAAAGAATGTTTCGTAATCGGCTAGCCGCTAAAGAATGATTCGTAATTGGCTAGCCGTTAACAAATCATTCGTTAACGACTAGCCGATAATGAAATTTTTTCGCTAGCCGTGTACAATTTGTAATCGGCTTCTGCGAACATGGCCTGATCCAAATGAGTTTTTGATTTCGAACTATTTATGCAAGACGCAAATCAGCTTATCTAGCTCAAATCGCAAATCGTTAGCGGCTAGCCGTTAACGAATGATTCGTTAGCGGCTGAATTTCGTAAGCGGCTACGACACATAAACTTCAAACCTCATTAAACATTAGCAAATTTTTAGTAAAAATAATTGAAAATTAGAGATATTCAGTAAAATCAATGAAAACAGTGCAACAAAATGGTCGGCAAACTGTTTCCAATATGGGTAAAGTGGAGAAAGTCTTTTTTTTTTTTTTTTTTTGATACATAATCTATCAAAAAAATGTTAGAAAAATGATCATATGAGAGAGAAAACGGAGAAAATATTGAAAAGTGAGACTTTTCGAAAGTTTCGTCAACAATTTATAGGTTATAAATTGTATAATAGATTAGTATCTTTTAATTAAATCCAGATTTTACGTTAAGTTCTAGTAACAAATTAAAGAAGAAAAATCTCTTCTAACACTTTTTGGGCTCATTTGTGCACCCCATCGGGGACGCGTTTCAAAATTTTCTCGAGACACTATCGGAAGGTCTCTGGGTAAACCCTAACCTCAAACTTGGGTAATTAAACCGAGGCACGCGGTCTCTGTCGCGGTATCTGTGAGGTCCGCGTGCCAGATGCTACTTTTTCCTAGGAGAGACACGAAGAGTACACACAGTCGTGCCGTCTCGTATCTCTGCTGCTGGTAATTTCAGGCATCCGTCAAAGGAAAAGCGCTTACGATCATAGCACGTTGAAAAACGGTATCCCGTCAGATCTGCCAAGTTAAGCAACGTTGGGCTCGGCTAGTCGCTGGTTCGAATCCAGCAGATGAGTCAGGGATATCTTCCCGAGTGCTGTAGGTAAACGTGAACCGAGTGCTGTAGGTAACCGCATCCATATGGAGAACTGGTTCCCAAGATCGGTCCCCCTAGGGCCCCCTCCCCTCGTGATTGGGATAACCAGGGATCCAAATGGGTAGACTTGTCTAAGGCACAAGCTCATATAAAGGAGGTAGCCTTCTCCTCCTACATCGTCTTCTAGATTGTCTCCTAGATTGTCTCCTAGATCGTCTCCTACATCGTCCCATCCTCACAAACAATAGAATATTCCCTAGGTCCTAATATGTAAATTGTGATTATGCGTGTGCAAAATAAAATCACCGGTAACCCCGGTATACATTATTATTATTATTATTAAATAGAGCTCTTCAATTGGAATAAATACGGTAAATCCCTTTTAAAAAAAGCTATTAGTACTTTTCTCATCAAAACTTGATCTTTTTGCACCCCAAATCACAATCCCCCCACTCTTAAATCGTACTTTCTTCAGCCATTTCGATTTTCTTGTTCACTTCTGATACCTGTTAATTTGATTTGTTCATTTATTCTCATATAGATTCTTTATCAAATTCCTCAAGCTTTTCTCAGTATTTCTCCTTTTCCATCTTTTGGTTGTCGTTAATTAAGTTCACCGAGAATGTTCACTCAAATATTCAATGATTTTTCTTTTTAGATTAGCATCTTTCATGTGACTTTTTCTTTTCTTAACCACCGTAATTTGGAAATCACTTTTTTTGGGAAATGTCACACCTGCCTTTCGCAAAAAAAAATCTTTGTAACAAACCTTTGGCAGCTGATTTTTCAGCAACTCTCGAAGAAACAAAGTTCTAGGTCGACGAAAAATCGCCCGAAATCTCAGCACCACATTTTCTTGAATGTTTATGATCTATCAATTTGCGTCGAATTCTTCCTCGGCAATTTTTATACCAGTTTTTGTGTCGATCGAACCATTACAGGTAAGTTTATTGTGGGGAGAATGAAACTGATTAGCAAAGAATGCATTTTGTTAAAACTTTCAACACAAAGGCTACTTATTTAAGTCGTTTTAATGCATATGAATGACTGAATGAATTCAATGAATTGAATCTAATCCTTTTTTTTCTCTTATTTGACTCAAAACACTTCTGAAAAACATGTGAAAGTTTAAAGAATTATCAATTTGAAATGTTAAAAGTTTCAAAGAATGAACCGAATACTTACATTTAAAAGCATAATATAGCAAGTGTTGCAAATTTTTCCAAACGCTGACACAGGTTTTTTGTAGAGATAAGGAACCAAATTTTGAGAGAAGGAAGAAATTTAGAGAGATAAAGAACCAAATTTAGAGAGATAAGTAACCAAATTTAGAGAGAAGGAAGAGATTTAGAGAGATAAGGAACCAAATTTAGAGCGATAAGTAACCAAATTTAGAGAGATAAGTAACCAAATTTAGAGAGAAGGAAGAGATTTAGAGAGATAAGGAACCAAATTTAGAGAGATAAGTAACCAAATTTAGAGAGATAAGGAACCAAATTTAGAGAGATAAGGAACCAAATTTAGAGAGAAGGAAGAGATTTAGAGAGATAAGGAACCAAATTTAGAGCGATAAGTAGCCAAATTTAGCGAGATCTAAAGCGTGTCCCGTCTACCGTAATATCATTCTGGAAATGAGTCTTTAAACTGTCTTTATATTTAATCTTCATAGATTTACATTAACTTACTATTAAGTTCATTGATATAGTTCTTACAATTACAGTTGGATTTACAGTAATATCTATTACAGATCACAGTAACCAATGAACGCTTTAGAACGGCTTCGAACGCTTCGAAAAGTTGTACTAAGAATAATTAAAAGTCACCAAATACTGCAATGATAAATCTTTCAAAGTAAAAAGTACAAAAAATCTAAAATTCTTGAACTTACAGGATTCGGATACTCTTCTCTTTCTCCTCTATGCAATCACAAGCGTTGAAGTGTTTTGCTCAGTGCTTTCCTATATATTTTTTGTGCCTTTCGTTGGAATTGTTCACAGTTCCGGTAAGTGTTATTCTTTAAACTCTTGAATAAGTAGAAGAACGATAGAACGATAGAATTCAGTTTAAAGAATTCAATTAATTCAAGTACAGACTTGCTTAAAATTCTTCAAAATTTCAGCCCATTTCCATCCGAATCTCACTCGTATCATCCTCTTCATGATCGTTCACTGCTTAGCTCATTCCATTGCTCGTTTCTTTTTAATGTTCTTCGAGTTCAACATTATAAAATTATATGGTGAGTGACTTTTTGTCAAATTACCGTATCTCAATTTAGTCTCTTTTCTAGCCGATGCTTTTTTGATTGTTGTTGGGAGTCTGAGATTGTACTGTTTTATGATGGCGTTGTTCACGATTCCGTTGATCACTGCGGAGAGGTGAATGGGATAAATAAATAGCTATAAACTAGTATTTAAGTATTTCTAGTTAAAGTTACATTACAAAAGATTGAAAATTAAAAAAAAGCAATCTTGTGGTGCTTTTTGTTCTTAATTCTTGAATAAGTAGAAGAACGACTTATGGTTTTGAAACGCACAACTGGCTATGATTGGCGCACAACTGTTCCAACTTAGCCTTGATGCTTACCGTATTTTCTTTAATAGTAGTGCACCCTGAGCGTCGCCTAAATTTCTCGAAATCTCGAGAATCGCTTATCAGAACCTATCGATGTTGGGTCGGAAAATGTAGCTGACGATGAGATCTTGTGCGGGATTTGAGTGTTGAGCTTCTGCAAAAGCTTGGGAACTGTAGAATAATCATTTGGCTCGGCCGGGGGGAGGGGGAAAGGGCACTACAATTAGAGAAAATACAGAAGACCGTATTCTCTCTAATAGTAATCCTGGACAACCTAAATTCCTCGAAATCTCAAAAGCCGCTTATCAGAACCTATCGATGTGGGATCGGAAAATGTAGCTGACAATGAGATCTTGTGGGGGATTTGAGTGTTGAGCTTCTGCAAAAGCTTGGAAACCGTAAAATAGTTACCAACTCGGCTCGGCAGGGTGCACTACTATTAGAGAAAATACGGTAACCGGTTATTCATAGCTTATAAGGTCAGGGTTTATTGGGTAATTGGTGCTGATTGAGCTCTGACAAGGGAAGTCATAGGAAATCACCTTGAACCACCTTTCGAGTTCCTTATGGGGCCGTTACGCCCGAACAATAGCTTCGGTGGTCTAGTGGATAGACTCCTAGACTGCCGAACCCATCGTTCCCCTCCAGTTCTAGTCCAAACTCTTTTACTTTTTTGCTAGTTCCCTGCAATGAATAAACTAGCTTGACTGAGTGGCTTGACTGAGCTAATCGTGACTTGACTGATCTGATCTGATCTGGCCTGGTTCGACCCTGGCTCTAGTGAGTCAGAACGGGTCCAGGCCCGGCCTCAATTGTCATTTGTCTTTCTTTCAGAGCTTTCGCCTCTCATCACATCGATGATTATGAGAAAAACCCGCGCACAAAGATCTCAGCCACTTTGTGCAGTCT